TGGGAAGGCCTTTGGTTACAGTTCGGCTAGACCAGTTTAACTTTTAAAAAATAAATTAAATATTAAATAAGTAATTTTAATACTAAACAAGTATTGCAGATAACAATGATTTAATTAAAGTATGTATCCAGGGGGTTTAACTTGTTTCTTTAATATTATAACATTTTCTAATCGGTTCAACCAGTTCTTAGCTGGTTTGAAGGATTCCCTGCTGGATGGTGTATTCCGGACCTGATGAACCACCTACTCCTGGTTCAACCAACTGGTCCGGTTTATGACACTGGGTACAATACACAACCCTGGAAGAGGAGTGACTGGTGCATGTTCCAAAATTCTGTACTCGAATCCTGAGAAATACGCTTTCTTTTCTGATTTGATGGTCCTAGTTATATCATTTTGACATATGATCTGATTTGCAAATTATATATCGGTTGACTTATATACTTGCAGTTAAGTTTAAAAGATGTTCTATATTGTTTTGCGTATGTTTCATTCCTGGAACATATCATTATATGATTTTACTTCGAGAAATTTAGCAAGCTTATGCATTTTTTTGGTTTTCTTTTCTTTCATTTTTACAGTGTCGTTGATGATAATGAGCCGGAGAGTACTCCTGGCACAAGTTCAGGTTACTTTTTGTCTTTTCTGCCCTTACTTTCAAACACTCTTCTAGTCTTCTTACATGATTGCATTATCCTATGTTACTTGAACTTGAATGTGTCAGATACGGGTATGTATCTGCCGCATTTATATTCAATATTTTTGGAGTTTTTTTTTCATGTATTCGGAATGAGCTTGGAGGGTCATAACCCCATATCATATTCCAGTTTTGGTCGAACGCAGTGTACTTAAAGAAAAATAAAGAATTCGAGCAATATAGGTGTTCTCTTTTCCTAGACTTCCGGTTAATATATGAACAGAGTTCCCAAGTACAAAAATGAAAAGAATTACCGGTTATTCCTGTTACTTCTCCTTTAATCCGTTGATCCCTTAACCCTATTTATAATGATTAAATCTCTACCAAAGCCTCGTCGGGGACTGGTTTTCATCTACATTTCTGACACTATTACTGCAGAATTACAACTGCATCATTTCAATGCCCTTAATACTCCAATATTTCATTTCCTAATCTACTATTATTCATTCAGATGCTCTTCCCGAGGGTCTCACCCATGAGCTCCCGATTGCCGATGAAGTTCTAAAGTCACCTGCATCTGGAGCCCCAGATATGGCTATCGACGACCTTGAAGATCTCCGAAGGCAACTCGATGCTCTGAATGCTAATTAACTTCCCAACACATCTTTTGGTCGAAAGGTAGACAATTTTCTCTGGCAAATTAGGAACAATTTTGGATTCCATTGCTTGTTAAAACATTCAAATTAATATGCGAGTCTTACCCTTGAAACTTTTGTGCCCTGAAATATATTATTCGAGTTGAGTTGAACCGAGTTCAAGCTGTAAGAGGTTTGAGTTAGACTCAAATTGATTCGAGCTTGATTGAATTTTATTTTTAAAGTTTAACTCAATTTCATACAGAAGTTGAAGTGTTCAACTTCGTTCGATTTTCGTGTTTGATTTCAAACTATTATTTATGCTCAAAATCAAATTGAGATTTTTGTTTGATTCTGCTCATGGGCTCTACTGGAGTCGTATATTTAATCTATCGCTCAGCTGGTATCGTTACTAATACTAACAATATGAAGTTTGTGCATTCAATCATGTTTAAACACAATTTCCTTTAATTCTAGGTTTGAAAAATACTAAGGTGACGTTTGGTTCGCAGGAATCCCTTGGAATTAGGGGGAATTGGAATCCAATTCCACCACTTTCTCATGTTTGGTTTAAGTTTTCAAAGAGAATTGGAATTCCTCCTGACTTCAATTTTTCATCAAATGAGAGAAAGTGAATTCTATCCATTCTATGTTGGAATTCAATTCCCTTGTTAGAGGGAATTGAAATATGACCATACTACCCTCATTAATCTTTTGGTAACTTATTCATATATTGAATAAAAATATTATTTTATTATTTCGGGTCGGGTCGAGTCGAGTTTCTAATTCATATATTCGGGTCGGTCGGGTCGAGTTCAGGTTTAGGGTGAAAAATACCCTATCCGACCCGAAAATTTATATAATTTTACTTTATATATTTAAGAATAATTAAAATAATACCCCTCTATATATATTTTTTTCAATTAAGTCACTGTTTTTATTGAATAATTTTTTTTATTTCGGGTCGGGTTTCTAATTCATATATTCGGGTCGGGTGAAACTTTATTTTGGTCGGGTCTGGTCGGTTTTTTTAAGTGTGATATTCGGGTTTAGGGTGAAAAATATCCAACCCCACCCAAAAAATATATAATTTTACCTTATATATTTAAGAATAATTACAATAATACCCCTCTATATATAATATTTTTGAATTAAGTCACTATTTTTATTGAATAAAAATAATTTTTTTATTATTTCGGGTCGGTTTCTAATTCATATATTCGGGTTGGGTCAAGTGAAACTTTATTTTGGTCGGGTCGGGTCTCGGATGGAAGTTCTCTTGTTCTCAGGTCGGGTTGGGTAGACCAAAAACCCGACCCAACTCGACCCATGGCCATCCCTAATTGGGATGATTTTAACTTATGATGTTAGCATGATTTTTATAATTTATTGAAATGAATAATCAATCAATAAAATTAAAATTTAATATTTTTATAATATATTGTTATATGTAATTTATAAAACAAACTAAAATTAAGCAAAAAAAAAAAGAATGGCAATCATGTCATTTTACATTACTGAAATCAAATTCATCTGACATGTCTGCGAACTAAACATAATATGAAATTGGATTCCAATTCAATTTCCTACCAACCAAACAGAATGTGAAATTGGATTCCAATTCCTGACAGATTCCAATTCCCTCAGAAACATTCCAGCGAACCAAACGTAACCTAATGGTTTAGATTTAGGCTCGGATTGAATCTCCTTAAATTTGGACTGAATCAAATGTTGGGTGGAGGGGGTAGAATACTCAGATAAAATGTTGTGCGATTATAAGGTAGTATATGTTTATAATATTTTTTAACTATTAATAATACATATCTTACAGACGTAGTTATTCGAATTCAATACCTATAGGGAGAGTAAGAATCTCTTTTCCCAGTCGTTAAACGAGTTCTTTAAGTAATATAAATTTAAGAGACGAATGATTTCAAAAACAATATATAATCACATTGTTGTTTACAGTTATATAAATCCGATTTTGTTACCTTCCTATCAAGAGATATGGCAAATATAATAATAACACATATTTACAATGGGAAAAAAAACCCTTAAACAGAAAAATAGAGAACAAATAATTATTATTAACGAGAAATATAAAAAGAAATTATAAAAGTACATCAAATCCCAGAATTCTAGTTATATATATATATATAGTTAAACGAACAAAGAATTTGATTATTTATTCTTTCTGATGTGAATTGAGAATAACACGTTATGATAGTTTGAGACTTTTATGATTGTATTTGAAAAGTTAGAATGATGCCCTCAAAAATAAAGAATTCAGAGTTTCACTCTTTGATAATTAAACTCGAAATCCAATAATCTTTAAAAAAAAAACATTAAAATCACTGAATTAATTAAATTTATGAGTTAGTTGTATCATATATCCTTAAAGTATGGTCTCATCTTAAACTGGTACTTCAACTTTTAATTGTTTTTATTTTATCCCTAAACTATGATTATCATTTTAAATTAGTCCTCAAACTTTTGAACCTTTCAATTTCAGGTCCAAACTATTACTTTCATTCTAAATTGATCCCCAACCTTTTGAACATACATATTTCATCCCAAAATATATGTATATACTAATCACATCCCTTGTTAATAAAATCGTTAGCCAAGTTATATTATTGTATATGAAAAAAAAAACAAAATATAGGTTAAATTATGGTTGAAGTTAATTACATATTTGAATGAACTTTGAGATGAAATAGAAATATCCAAAAGTTTGGGAACTAATTTAGAAAGAGGGTCATAGTTTAAAGATGAAATTAGACTATTCAAAAAGTTTAAGAACTAATTTAGAATGAGTCATAGTTTGGAGATCGAATTGAAATATTCAAAAGTTTAGGGATCAATCTAAAATGAAGATTATAATTTGAAGACATATAATAAAATTAACTCTGAATTTATTGATATTGTATATAATCTTAAGACAATTACCTGATTTTATTTAGTACTGTGAACCATAATCAATTTGAAATATTAATTTTTTTTAAATAATCAAAACTGAATTTTCCAATTCGATTAACCATATTTTTAATGGTAAGTACATAAATGATACCCGACTATAGATATTGTTTTGTTGAGTTTCCCTACTATACTAGTTACAAAATGGTCTCATAACTATAAGGTGTTGCTTAGTTGAGTCCATTGATTATTAAAAGTTATAAAATAATCACCTAACTATTAATTAGGTTACAAACTCGTCATTTTCTGTTAAAAAATTAACAGTCGTCTAAGTTTGGCGTTAGCATATTAACTGGGATATGATTGTCGTTTGAGATTATGAGATCATGTTTTATCATATCTCAGTCAGCAGGTTAACGTCTAGCTTAGGTTGCCGTCAAATTTTTAACAAAAATGACGAGTTTGGAACATAATGAATAAATATGTGACTATTTGTAACTTTTAATAATCAATAGACATAACAAAGCAATGTCTTAGTGAAGAGATCATTTTATAACTTTTAATAATCGAGACTCATCAAAACAGTATTATATAATTGGAGGACCATTTTTTATTTTTTAATAATCAAAAGATTCAATAAAACAACTTTATCCTATTTTTTATTAGTTTTTTTTTTCAAATTCGGTTGCCCAAATTTATCTCTGAATGCCTTGAACCGGCTCATGGACATATAGTTCACTGGTTGGCGGGAATTCGTTTACAAAAGGTTAAACGGTGCGTTTTAACTTGGTTAAAAATGCGGTTTCCTACCCAAATCCGCGGGAACGCTTTAGAATTAGGGATTTAGGACCAATTGTTGTTTCCGTTCAACAATGGCGGATCGTTCAGAGAACCCTAACCCTAAATTGACATTAACCAACCAAAATCACTTTGAAACAAAGAAAGAGGAGGGGAAGAAGAAGCTGAAAAAGAAGAGTGAGTTTGAGTTCTGCAAGGTCTGTAAGCTGAACCACAACCAAGGGCCACGTCATAAGTATTTCCCTAACCACAAAGCCGCTCACTCCTCATTCCTCTCTCGATTCGAAAATAAGATCAATGACGTTCGTTTTTTCTTGAAAAACCCTACCATTCTTCGACCCGAACACACAGATCGCAATCGATTTTGGTGCGTCTTTTGCGATACGGATGTTGACGAACGCGATAGCTCTTTTGGTTGGTAAGGCTTTTAATTTGAGGAGTTTAAACTTTTACATTCTTGAAGTCTTTAGATAAAGGTATTTTTGAAGTTCGGCTCACCTTAGTTGAGAAATAATTTGGAATTTAAAACCGTTTATGATCAAGTTACTTCGAGAAAATAAAGGAAATTGTAGTTAAAAGTTTGGATTTGATGAATGAAAGTTTAGTTCAAAAAACGATGCTAGGTCCTGTACTTTGTTTAAATTTAAGATTTAGTACTCTACATAAAAAAGTTTAAAAATTAATTTCCACAACTTTTATTCAAATTTTTTAGTCCAATCGTAATTCATAATGATTTTTGTGAAAATACTAACAATATAAATAATTAGATTAGGATTTTGAAATCTTAAACGTTTGGGGATATAATTTTTAAGTATAGGCTAAATCTCGAACTTTGTTTAAGCTCGGGGACTGGCAACATATTAAGTGTTTTGGTATTTTGGTGATTTAAATGTAATGGCATTGTATGAAAGCACATCTTAAGTGTTTTTGGTTCTTGAAAAGTGAAAATGCTATTAATCACATGGCGGGCGCACATCACTTGAAGAATTTGAAGCATTTTCTCTGGCAATACGGTGGTAAGATGGAACAATTGGACAAATATAGGATATCAGAAACTGATCTAACTAAGGTATATCCATTAGATTGTTCTAAAGAAAGCTTGGAAGGTTAATTATGTGATGGGATTTCATTTTTGGTTATTGTAGTGGGAGAAGAAGTGTGAGTCTTTGAAGGATGAAGCAATGGCTGCTTGTATTGAAGAATCTTGTGGAGTTGTATATGGAGCTTCAAATGATATCCACAATTATGTCAACTTAAAAAAATTAATAATCTTGGACAAAATACTCTTAAGAGTCTCAAACCAAGTTATTCAAATGTTGTTTTGCCTTTACAATACAATACAAATGAGTATCAGATATCTAATTCAAGATTCCCTGAAGTTGCAAACATTGGGTCAAGTTTTCATGAGGCTAACTTTTCTTTGCACGTGGGTATGCATTCCAATATGAGTTTGTTGAACTCGAATGATTTGACAGGTACAAATATTTGGTTATTTGGTATTTTCCTTATTTAATATATTTCTTGTTATTTCTCTGATATTTCTGTGAAAGTTTCTTGTATGAAGCTGAGAATAAACTGACTTATTAGTTTTGTTCCTATGTGCTTTGTGCTGATTTTCCAGCTATTAGCAGTAGTCAACAAAATCTTCTTTACAACAGTGGAATATACTCTGGGAATGTTTGCCTCGGCAATGTTGGGGTAAGTTTATTATCCCATGCTTTTCCCTATGTAACTAATCTTATTTTGTTTCCTAGAAATTGTTCTGACTGTTCTATGCTCAAATTTGAAACCATCGCATAACAATATTTATGCTTATTTGAAATATTTTTTTCTTTTGTTGTTTGATGGTGGTTTTATAGGAAAGAAGAAATCAAATGGTTTTCTTAACTGCTTTGTCCTTTTTAAGAAAAATATTTACCCAATCCATTAAAGTTTTATTTTATTTCATTATTCACAAGTATGCCCTTTCATGTCTTCTCCATATTTATTTACAAGAGAATCACTTGCCTCAATTTGTAAAAACATGTGTATTCAAGTATTTTGCGACCTGATCTTTATTTTCTTTGAATGCATACTTCTCCGAGCCAGGTCTTTACTATTTAAAATTTTTCTTCGGGTTAACTATCTTATGTTTTTGAAGTTTGAATATGGTACTGCATTCCTGTTGTACAACATGGCCATCTATCCTTCTTATAGTTTGTTTTGTATGAAGTCGACTGTTTTGTGGGATTTCACAAAGTAGTTTCTTCATACATGATATAGTAATGTTCTTTAGAAATATGTATTCTCACACAGGTCTGCCAAACGTATCAGAGTGCAAGTATGGGTAATGGAGAAAACAGTTCCCAAGGTAATGTTTTAGTTGTATTGTGCTTTCATATAATTCTGTTTCCATTCCAAGTCACTTTGAAACTAAATATACATAATTAGTATGCTAAAAAATTATATTATGCTTTTCTGGTTGCTAAGTGGAGAGATGCTCAAAGGAGCAATAGTTTTTATTTATCATCTTATGATCTTTGTTTCTTCAGGTTTGCGGAGTTTAATGCAAGTCTCTTCCATTTCAACAATAGATGCTGGAGGAAATGTGCATTCTGGAGCACCCCCTCCCTGGTTTGAAGCATCTGATCAAACCTCTCTAAATAATCAAGTAAAACCAGCTTTAAATACCTTTATGTTGTCAAACAAGTCATTGAATTCCCGTAAGTTGAATCCAAAAAGGGTTGGGGTTGCTTGGGCTGAAAAGCGAAAGATGGAGCTGGAGAAAGAGAAGAGAGGGGAGATTGTTGAGAGTGATTGTGATGCTAACTGGCTTCCTAATGTCGGTAGAGTTTGGGAGTCAGGTAGCCGGAAGGAATCTAGAAAAGAATTTGAGAGTGAAAAACAGAAGTTCCTCAAGGTTGAAAGTCACTTTGAGATGCCAGTTAAGATACAGTCTTACATCAGTAAACGAATGGTAAGGACACATCCTTATATGCTATCATTCTAAAAGTCCCATAGATAGAAGTGCAAGTATGAACATGTGCTTTTCTGTACCCACTTAAGAAAACAACTTGTATGATTTTCATTTGGATTATGTAGACATGCTATATTCCGTGCTTACTTAAGCGATCAGCTAAAATGATTTTCATCTGTGCAAAATAACGCGTCACTATGTATAGGTCTGTAAACGAACCGAACGTTCAACGAACCTTTCGTGAACCATTCGGCGGGAAGTTCGTTTATGTTCGTTTTATTTATTAAATGAACGAACATGAATAAGATTTTGTATTCATTTAATTAAATGAACAAACATGAACAGAGGGCTCGTTCGTTCATTTATATTCGTGAACGTTTGGTAATATGTTCGTTCATTTATATTCGTTCGTTTATGTTCATTCGTTTATGTTCTTTTATGTGTGTTTATTTATGTTTAGCCCAATCTCTCTAGATCCATTTAAAATATTAAAGCCCAATAAGTTTTAATCTGATACCCATAAATATTTTAAAGTTCAATTAATTTTAAATACAAATAAAAAAAAGCTCAAAACAATTAAATAAAATATAATCCTAAAATTGTTAGGAAAGAAAAAATATATTTTCATTTATGTTAGTTTACGTTCGTTTATGTTCATTTATTGTGTTCGTTTATGTTTGTTGGTTTGTGTTCATTTACGTTCGTTTATTGTGTTCGTTTATGTTCGTTTACATCCGTTCTTTTGTGTTCGTTTATTGTGTTCGTTTACATCCGTTCGTTTATCATTTAAATGAACGAACAAGAACAAGAATTTTTTTGTTCGTTTTTGTTCGTGTTCGTTCGTTTGTTCGGCTAAAGTTAAACAAACGAACATGAATATACCTTTCGTGTTTGTTCGATTCGTTTACAGGCCTAACTATATACAGTAGTGCAGAACTTATACTGGCAGTACTGAAGTCAGCCAAACTGGTCTTTGAGTTACCTTGTTAGTAATAAAAGGGTCTATTTGTATAATGTCTTTAGTTTGCTTAGAAGTGCAACCATTCAACTGCATCTTGAGCATTGACTTTAGTTTGGAGTATTTGCTAGCAAGGAGATATCTTCTTGAAAGGATAATGGATGTAACTAACCAGCTCTGGTGTAATGGCTTTAACTTATTATAACTTCATTCTGCTTTATGTTGGTTCTATATTTACCCAATTTACCTTCACCCCCCCCCCTCTTGGCAGCGAAAACATTCTGGTGAACTATGACCAGTGATTTTGCAAGGAAGACGACTCACAATGCTGACAATCAAATAATCAAGTAGTGTTCTTTTGTTTTTCCCCTCTACGGTGAATTTGAATTTTCACTATGAGAAACTTTGAGGGAAGAAAGGAGTAGGTCATGGACTCCTGGTGATTTCTCCCTGTGATATTTAGCCGATTCCCTAAATGTATTATTTTTCCATCTCTGAAAGTTGTGTACAGTGTGCAGCAGAATAAATAATTTTCCATTTCGTGCACTCATTTACTTGTCTCACAAATGTATATGTATGTCTCTGTTGTTTCTGAAGCAATCAGATTTGCTATTCTGGATTGGGACAATGGATTTCCTAGCTTTGGTGCCCAGATTAATATAATCGGCAAACCTTACCAAGGGCTTATTTCCGTTGGTATATCATGAGATTCAACTCATGCAAGATTATAATGAAAACTGTTAGTACTTACCAAGTGCCATATATAATATTTATATATCTATGTGTATATGTTCTCTAAATTTACACATGAAGAAAATATGCAGCAAGGCAGACGCACACTTCAGTTCCAGGTACTCACACTCTCCAATGCTGGAACTTACATAAATCATTCCTGTTTGAGCCTGAATTCTACTGTTTAACTGCGTGTGTGGTAATTTTGTTTTATATATATGACTCTCCACCTAATATATCCTGGATGTGACACCCTGATTTTGGTCTTTTATAATGCCAAATGTAATGATATCTTTATTTGCAAATTTTATGACTAACGGGCAATCCCGCCGCTGATTGTTCTGTTGCTGCAGAAAAAGAAGGCTATTACTCTATCTGAACCTTCTCAGAAGAGCAAAACCTAGTAGAATTTGATTGATCAGAGATCCTAAAGTTCCAGAATTTTCCTTTAGCAGAAATCAAGTTTTCTTCACAGAGGAACTCCCAAGAGAACCATTTTTCAATCGTGCTATGAACATGCACTACAACATCAGTCGTCTTACCGGCTCTTGCTAACATGCTAGCAGTGTAGATGGTTGTCATCCTTCCTGGTGCTTCCCCACTTGGTCCGTCCACCACCACTACATCCCATTTAAGCTGATACACTTCTTGTGGTAAATTTCTCAATGCCAATTTGCAGGTTGATTGCTGGAGCAGACTTGTACGAGGTGCACAAATAGGATTTTCCTTGGCATGCTTAAGCATCTTGTATGCATTCTTAGCTGGTAGCTGGTACCCGGTTGGGTGTGGAACATCGATACCAGAAGGAATTTGTGTGACTGGGAGTTGGATCAGTGGCTGGATTTAATGACAAAACTGAAGGACTTTAAACTGACTGATTCAGTTGAAGACTTTCTTTCTTGGTCTGCAAGCGGGGATGGACTGTTTTCAGTGAAATCTTGTAGAAAGGAACTCGGCAAGGTGTCTGGGGAGTCCGATTTATGGGTAAAAGGGGTGTGGCAGGGTTTATCTCCTCCTCGTGTTGAAGTCTTCCTGTGGCAGCTAGCTCATCAAAAAGTGGCAGTGAGAGAGGAGTTGGTGAAAAGAGGTTTGCAGCTAGGGGATGAAATTCTATGTCCGTTTTGTAAAATACAGGTGGAATCAGTTCATCATTTATTTATTTCGTGTGATGTTGTTTGGGAACTTTGGAACAAGATAGCAAGCTATTGGGATATAGCCTTAGTCCTTCCAAAGGATCCACCTTCTTTGCTATGTTCTTGGGGTGAGCTGAGGGGGAAATCGTTGATTGGAAATTTATCCCGGGAGTAGTATTTTGGTCGATATGGAAAGCTAGGAATGCAATGGTGTTTGAAGGTTCCCCCTTGGATAGGATGTCTCTGTTTTTTATTGCTAGATTCATGTTATCTAAATGGTTTCTAGCCAAGTATCCTAAGTGTCCTATTCAGGAGGATGTGCTGATTGGTGATCCATCTCTTGCAGATGGTATTAAAGCTCTCAACATTTACAATTTTCAGGTTTCTCGCTGGATTCCACCCCCTATGGATTTTTTGAAGATGAATGTCGATGGAGCTGTTAGACTTGATGGCTCAAATGGAGGTATAGGAGGTATTTTGAGAGATTGGAATAGCAATTCCCTTTTGACTTTTTCAGAAAATGTAGGTCAGGGTCCCCCCGCCGGTTGCTGAGTTAAAGGCTATTAAGAGAGGCATTGAAATCTATATGTCTTCTTGTTGGGTTAAGGTTGGAAGGTTGATTGTGGAAAGTGACTGTAAGTCGGCTGTGGAATGGGTCCATACCCCAGCTTTGGCCCCTGTTTTTATCCTCCCATTAGTTAAAGAGATTTCATCTTTTATCTCGGACAGGGTGCACTCAATTAGACTGATTCCAAGGGTGTGTAATGGGGAGGCTGATAGTTTAGCAAAGATGGGAATTGGTTGATGTTTAGTCGTTTCCAGTGCGTTTTATCGTTTGAGTTTAGGTTTTTGGTTCTGTTGAGTAGCTTAGTCTGTTGTGTTTTTTCAATATGGTGTTTATGTTAAATCTTATGTAATTTCGGAGGAGTAATAAAGTTTCTAAGGCACTCTTTTCCTCCTTCTTTGATCAAGAAGGAGGTTTTTAAGGAGGCCTGTCATTCTTATCAAAAAAAAAGAATCCGCTTTGTACTGTCTTATCTTGTAAGGGTCTTCCTCGAGAAAAAGAGTGATGCCTCCTGCATTTATAGATGATAGGTTGAGGTACTGCAATTGAAGACCAAAGACGAGGAGGTTACAAGGTGCTTTGCTGGTAATGAGATTTGAAAGAAACGTGAATTCCTTCGGGGTGAGAAGGGGGCGCATTGGTGGTGGTTCCACGTGGACCAGACTCTAACCCTGGTGCATTCGATTGTGCCTTGCTGCATTCAGAAGGCAATGAACACTCCTGTTGAATAGACGATGACAAAGTAGCAGCTTGGGATGAAGAATGTGAGGTAGTGGTAATTGCGAATTTAAGAAGTCTGAGAATAGAAAGGCCTGACAAGATGAAAACAAGCATCGGGAGTAGTTTCTTTTCCGGAAATTTCATCTTTCTAGCAGCTCCGTCCAATTTTGGGCTGGTGCCCGAGGCTTCAGTACAAGAAAACTGTGGTACTTCGGAAGGCATTTTTCTTCCTTTTCGAGCACCTAACATCCACTACTATCATATCCTCCTCCTCCCAAGGTAATTATAAGTCTTTGATCGCATCGGGTTGTTATTATGTTGTCAACATTCACATAATCTTGAGTTAAGAAGAAGAAATGGTTTTTGCTTTTGTTTCAAGGGTTAACTTTTCCTTTATTATCAGTTGTCTTGTTCCTATATCATGTTCAAATGATCGTATTGGTCATTAAATTGATCTAATTATTATAAAAGTCATTAAATTTAGGAAACGGTTACAAATGGTCACTATGATGCTATAATAATTTGTAACATTTTGATAAAATATAATGATTGTTTTGTAACAGTTTGAGAAATTTAACGATTATTTTGTAATTGTTCAAAAAATTAATGATAATTTTATAACCATTGAAAGTTCAATGACCAAAATGATCATGTGAGCATAGGTTGGTGGCCTCTGGTGTACTTTACCCCAACATTTAAGGCTACCATCCCAATGTAGTATATAACAAGAACAATTAAGATGTGGCATATATATCAATTTGTACAAATTGATTCCAGAACAGGCCCATTTAGGGTTTTGTTTAGTTGGTTGTTCATCTCTGTATTTTAATTGTTTTCAGCTTGTTTGGTGGAGGTCCCTCTTGTTTGTTACTTAATCCCTTTCAATCCTTGTTAATTTACTTATTAGGTACACTTGCATATTGTATGCAAAATTAATAGGTTTTGGGTTTATCGCGAGCCTTGTTAAGGAAGGTCCGGTCATGATTGGGGATCGTATTGCCCCCCCCCCCCCCGAAGACTTGGCCGGCCTTGGTTAGCCGGAGAAAACATGTTTTTTGTAACGTTCTCAAGTGGGATCGTAAATCCGACATCGACTGTACTTTGAGACTCTTAAGGTAATAAGTTTTTACATCATCAATATGTAAGATGCCATTTATGAATAAAATTGTAAGATCCAATAGGTGAAAGCAAACAATATTCCATAAGCTGATGGGAACCCTAACGATATTGTTGTTATTCTCCAAGTAAATATAATTTATTTTTTTTAATTTTAAAATTTCGATCTATGGAAATATGTTAACAAACTTCACTAATAATCCTTATATCTAAATTGCAAATTTAAAATTTTATCCTTTGATATAATCATATCAATCGTTGAAGTTTCGTTGTATTGTTCTTATATTATTTGGCTCATACTAAGATTTTAAAATTACAAAAATTAAACGATCAAGTTAGAGTGCCCAATAATTAGATGGGTAAAGTACACAAATGGTCCTCCGATTATAGGGTGTTACTTTGTTGAGTCCCATGAATATTAAAAGTTACAAAATGGTCATTGTTTTGTTGAGTCCCTTAACTATTAAAAGTTACAAAATGATTACTCGACTATCTATATGTTCCAAACTCATCCTTTTTTATTAAAAAATTGATGGTCATATGAACTGGACATTAACATGTTAACTGTGATATGATAGTCGTTTGAGATTCTGGGATCAAACTTTATCATATCTCAATCAGCAGGTTAACGTACAACTCAGGTTGTCGTTAATTTTTTAACAAAAAAAAGATAAGTTTGAAACTTGTGAATAATCAGATAACCATTTTGTAACTTTTAATAATCGGTAGACTCAACAAAACAACACCTTATAGTTAAGAGACCACTTTGTAACTTTAATAGTCAAAGGATTCAATAAAGCAACGTTCTATAGTCGATGCACCATTTGTGTACTTTAACCTAATTAAATTCACAACTTTTGCATAATAAATTGACTAATATATAAATTGAAATTTAATAGAAAGAAATTTGTATATTCTTTTTATTGTTCGAACTGATTGATCCAAACAAGAAATTTGGAAAATGATTTTTCAAATTAAAATTTTAAAAAAGTTGGTCAAACATGAATTTTGAAATACAACATATATTATTTAGAAATGGTTAAAATATGCTCAAAGTCCCTGTACTCTTTATAGAGTAAAACTGTGGTTTTAACAATGAGAGAGCTCCTGAGGTGCTGCAAACAGTAAGTCAATAAGCCCTTTCAAAGGGTATATTTTACCCCAAAAAGTTATTAAAATTATAAATAAAAGAATATGAGGAAAGAACAGTTGTTCTGATCTTTAGAAATTCTTCAGGTTCACAGATATTCCTGATTTGAACTCAGTTTTTGAGGTGAGCTCTCCCTTGTCCACCCATCTGCAGATTCCTGAATTTCCATAGAAACAACTATGAACATTGTGAATTCTTGATCTTTCACTCTAGGAAACCGCAACACCAATCCGAATTAGACGGTTTGTTCTTCGTTGTCATCTATCTAACTGTAAGGATTCTTTCCTATCGGAGAACAAAATTTGTAGATCCTTCTATTCATCAAAATTCTTTTCTAGGCTTCTCGTTTTCTTTGTTGTCGTCTACCGTAAACAAGCATTCGGGGTTTCTTTTTTTCATTTTCTTTCTTAACCTCTTCTTTGATAACAGGTTGTCCGGCATATTCTACCTGAATATTTGGTTTCGTTTCCTGAACTGTTTCGGTGATCACCTCCATCTCTTTCACCTGAGCTTCAGTTAATACCTGTAGAAGATCCAATGGTATAGCTGCGGGATCAAGTTCCAAGCAATCCTTAGGAGCATTTAGACCTTCTTGACCTGTGAGCAAACAAGAAGGGACCTGGTGAGAAAAGCGAAACAACTCTTCTCTTGGAATCATCCACGTTTTACTCTGTTCGTAATGCTGTCGAAACACTGTCTTGAACCCAGGGAATTTAACAAGCGGAGCAACAGCAACACCGTTTTGCTCATTGTAATCTTCGAGCACTTGAACCATGTCATAGCTGTGTATCACTTCATCAGGTGTAAGCTCAATCCAATCAGTGGACCAGTTGCTATAGAGAGCCCAAACATCTCGCTTCCTTGGATATATTCGAATTGCTCCTTTCCGGCCTTTTGACCACTTCACCCTGTGTGAGAACGAGGCATCCCGTCGTCATCATCATAGGCAGCCCAAACCTGGTTATCACCAAATGATTTTTCAGTACGATCCAGGTCAAAGTCGTGAAAATCAGGAGCGGGAACATTCATGGACAATGGATCAAGTTCCTTTGTAGCAGGATTGACATGAGAATCATCAGTATAAGACCTTTTAGGCTCAATGCTAGACTTGATACCAACAAACTTCATGGATTCGTGTGCACCAGAGTTCATACTTAGGGCATCTTTTCCGTTTCCTTCATCCTTATCATTTATCCCCTCATCAAAAGCCTTTGGTTTATTTGAAGCAGCTGATAGAGAAGCCGGTTTCCATGAATTTAGTTTCTTGTTGATTTCTTTCTTAGCCAATTCCATCAGAATGTTCCGAATTCCCAGCTGTGAAGGCTGCTTTATGCTATTAGTTCTATACATTCCGGCAGTACTATCGAAACCACTCTTTTGAAAACTAGAAAAGCTAACCCTTTCATTTCCCATGGCCGAGTGATTTACCATCTCGGTTTCATCTATGCGCCTCTTCTTAGGTCTATGTTTCTTTGCCGCAAAACTAGAAACAGAAGCCGAGGACCCGGTACCTAAACCTGCATCGGTTTTCTGAGAAGGATGACATTTCATCTGCAAGTTTTTGCCTCTCGTAATCGTAATATCAGTCTGTGATTTGTTGTGTGCACTCTTTAATGTTTCACCGGCAGAATGAGTAACACCAGTAGCTTCATTGGTGAAAGAAGCTGGTGAAGACACATTTATGTTACTTCCCGATCTAGGGAATCCGCCTTTTTGAGAAATTTTTGTAGATATACCAGAAAATCTCGAGTATCCAGCATTATGAGCCTGGCGGAACTTTTGTTGCTGTATGAAGTCGGAAAATGGAGTATACTTATTACTAGCATTTATAGCAGGGGCTGGTGTCTCAACAGCAAAAAAGTGTGTGCGGCAGTTGATACAAGGAAGATTTACGTTGATGTAAACCCTAGAGTACTCGAAATGCATCTTACAGGAATTGCAAGTTGTCCAAAAGGTGTCATTTCTCACTGTGCGAGGAGCAGGCTTGGAATAAGTAGCACCGTTCCAACCACTGATGTTTGAAATGTTCTCATCGGAGAACTTATGGAAACCATTAGGACTGGTCATTGCTGATGACGATGATTTCCCATGCGGAACATTAGTATAACTGCCCCTCAAGTTCCGTTTCTGGTCATAAGCGATTCTCTTCGCTTTATCAGACAACAAATTCCAAGCTTGCGATAAAATTTTGAAAGCCCCATCCGCACCTACAGATTTATTTTTGTCGGGATGAAGAACAAGAGCCAGCTTCCTGTAATGTTTTCGAATTGTATCCCCATCAGCAAATGGTTGAACAGCAAGCACCCTATACCAGTCAACTTCTCCATTGATCTTTTTATCTGCAGATATGTACACATCAAGAGTTGCAAGCAATTGGGGAAGACCATCAAGCCCGGGATACAAGTTTTGAGCCTTCAAAGCAAATCTTTTGGCACCAACAGCATCCATCTCCGCAAGTTTTTTCTCAGCAAGCTCTTTAGCTCTGATGGCCTCGTCTTTGTTACAATCCATTTTAGTCATGCCCGTGCCTCTCTGCCTGCCACTGACTGCTTGCTGTTTCTTTCTTCAATATCTGATTTGCCATCGAATACAACATCAGAACAGATTCTAACATTAAAAAAACTAAATCTAAGGTTTTACATGCATCAGAAGGCAGCAATTAATTGCGAAAGACACCAAGTGTTGTTTAACCCAATATAAGAAACTCCTTCGGCAGAAAAGGAAAATAATAAAAATGGAATTTTTTCGAATTGCAACTTGACTGATAGTACAAAAACCAAAAGCACCAACTTGAGATTAATCAAACTCCATACGTTCCAAAGACCCGTAATTGGCAAAAATGTGCAGGAAGGTCATTTGCTTCGAACTCAAACTTAAACTTTACAGATTTGAAAACAATACTGCATATAAAAAGTGATAAAAAAGTGGTGTCATTGAAAGTAACAAATACAAACAGAAAGCGCTAATGATATTGTCCATATTCTAATAACTCTTAGTCAAGGAATCTATTCGCTAAAAATGGTAGAAACACATAGGAAGGTAACTCGAACTTCCAAAAGAAGCATACACCAGAGTTGGAATCAAACACATTGCGCAAAATGCCTTTTATCCAAGGAAAAGAGAGCGAGAAGACCGGTTAATGAGCTCGAATACCAAACTTTTGAAATAACTAAAACAGATTCAGAAGCAACACACGGCATAACCGAAGAATAATGAACGGGATGGTCGTTCACTAAAAACTAAAGGAACTAGAGTACCAAAATTTTTACATTAGCAAAGTATATTTGGAAATAAAAAATGTAATCAACTGAGAATTTATTAGTTGAAAGAAAACAAAATGCATTCAAGGTCATTTGTTTTAGATCCAAACAAACTCGAGTACTGAACTTTCGAAACAATCAAAATATGTTGCAGAGAAAAAGTGACCGGGAGGTCATTCATTTAACATCATGGCATTCTCCAATACCGAATTCTCAAAGCAATCATAATGGATTTCAAAAAACACATTCCAGAGGACGGCATCATAACGCATAAGGTTACTTAACGAAATATCACAAAATGAAAGAAAAACTTGGAATCCATCAAGTTACAGATTCTAATGGCTATTCATCTTTATCCCTTCAATTTTTTTTCTTTCAAGAAACTAATCATATTGTAATTCAGTTTTGCCCCTTGAAAAAACCCGAATTCTCAATGAACTTGTCAAGATTTCACTTCAAACAATAAAACCAAACATCATTGAAGTTAAACCCAATCCACATTAAAAGAATGAATACAATTTAAATACCAAACCAACAAAAAAAATTCAAGTTCATCGATTAGAACAATTCAGCAGTCTTTGAGATTGCCAGAAAACTACAACCAACAGTTACACATTTCACGTTCAAATTTGCCATAATTCAGTAATTACTAATCTGATAAAAACCCTAAAAATTCTCTACAGAAGTACGTAATCAATGGCTTTAAAGAGAATCCCTAAAGAGTTGCATGCAAAGCAAGGCAAAAAGAGTATTCTAAAACATGCAAAAAGGAGGGGAAATTACCCATTTAACAGATAATTCAGCATGAGAGGAGGCATTGAAGAATTCCCAGTTTCAATTACTTTTTTACCTGAAAGATTAAATATAAATAATAAAAAATACCCCCAGAACCTAAATTTTGAGAATTTTCGTAATAATATTAATTATTTTATGGAATATGAAAAAAAAACAATTACGTTTTCTATTTATTTATTTAGTCATAAACTTAACCATTTTATATACGATAAAATCCTAAGTATGGTTAATTTTTAACTTTGATTAATAGACACATTAGCAAAGTTTAGTAATATTATAAATGTACGAATTAAATCATTTCAATAGTTAAAGGAATAATTATTCTTAAAAATTTTAAGTTAGATCACGACCCCCGCAAAAATATTAGAATATTCATTTTATAGTAATTTGATAAATTTTAATAATTATTTTACATCCTTTCGGTATTTATATCTTAAAATAATTTAATTAATATAACCAGGTATTTGATCCATGCCTCCACAGCTACTTGTAGCTTCATCCACGTTGTCACTGCCTTTGCTTCTAACAGCTAACCAATCTTCATCGAAATCTTACTCAGACATTTTCAAAGAGGAAACTACGTCGTCTTCAACCCATAACTGCATCCTTTTCATCAAACACTTGGTGGTCAAGAACGGTTTCCTCTGAAATGTCTCAGGCTCTTCTTCCATGGTGTCCCATAATTACTTGTACAAAACACCGGAGGGCATCTCAATTCCTGCAATTACATTTAAGTCAAAAAAATTGTCCTTCGACTGAAACTAATCTGCAGCTATTTACTCCAAAACCCATAGTTTAAATTTGGGTATTGATTATTGTTTCAAAACATACCTATGCATTCTGCTTAACAATTTGTTTCTCTAAAGAATCAAACCAAACCCTTTTTTCTTCATATTTTGAAACTGCGTCTTGTTGTTTCATCGGAGAAACAAAAAGAATACAACAATCTGACGGTTAAGAACTCAAGATCCCTTTTTTTCACGATCATGATGGCATGAGGAATGCAAAAAGAAACGTTAATTTATTTAAGCACTAATCAGCAGGCCAAGTACGTCGATATGTCCGAGTGGTTAAGGAGACAGACTTGAAATCTGTTGGGCACTGCCCGCGCAGGTTCGAACCCTGCTGTCGACGTTACTTTTTATGCATATGGACTCACCCAGATATGTTTTCGTTGATGCTCATGGGGGAATGAATATAAATTCCTCCGTTTTATATTTTCCCCCTGCCCAAAGGGGAAAGGGAAAGTTTGGATTTAATTCTGCAATTTCATTTTGATCTTTAAATAGGCAAAAGCATTTGAAACTGGTTCAACTGCAAGTAATCCTGCATATGAAGCAGATATTGAGAAGTTGACAGAGCAAGCCTTGAATCTCAGGAAGGTATTCACAGTGAAATGTTCATAATTTTCTTTAAGCTCAACAGCAAGCTTGATCGAGTATCATTTTTTTTTAGTTTGAGCTCAGCTCAACTGGATTGAGCTTGTTTATTCGAAATTAAGGTTTTGCTGCCAATGCCCTGCGAGGTAAATATGAATCCAGATATCTGCATTGAGGGATGATCTCGTTGTCTTTACATCAGTCATTCTATTTGATGTCAGTCTTAGGTTTATCTAGATCTCTTTGATTGATACTCAATGGAGCATGAACTGAGTACTGAGCCACCGGTTTTGAGTCGAGCTCGAGTTTCTCACTATTCAAGCTTGGCTCGATTACAGCCTAATTACCTGTGATAGGTGCTGTTTGTATTATTTGGTGATCGTGCTTACAAGTTTAAACATCTCCACAAGTTCACTCAAAAAAAAACTTGAGCTCACTAACGAATTCGCCGATTTCGAGCTTCTTAATGCTGGATTCAAGATGCTCTAGTTTTATTGCATGTTGAGAAATTTTAATTGGAGATCATACATTTCTAAACCCTGTAAGAAAAATAAAAGGGTTGATACATAAAAATATGAAGGGGAATGATGCTTCGAGTTCATCTGGTTACGAATTTGAAGATCTCGTTGTAAGCGATGATCGCATATCTACTATGGCGGATTCATCCGCTCCCAACTTGATGGCCTCTTTGCTAGCTCTTAAAAACCGGGAAATGGCTCGTCTTGCGTACTCGTGAGCTTCCTTCACCGTCATTTTCTTGCTCATCTGATTGGGAAAACTGCCCAAGATATGGTCGCCATTAAGAACAGCTGCCAGTTGAACTACCTGACTCTGAAATTCGGAGAGAGCGGCATCTTCTTTGGCTTCGGCTGTCCACAAAGGTACTATATCTGGCAATGTCTCTGCAATACAAATTCAAATGAGACAACCTCATCCATTGTGTTATTATTACATGTTTTGCAGGTCACCGATCGGTTGATCGAAAGAAAATACCAGGGCAATCGGTTCTGGGAGAGGTTAACTCCCCAGCAACTCCCTCGAAAGTGCCAGCCCAAGCATCTCTATGAGTTAAGAAATTGGAGGAGAGGTTGAAAATTTTCTTCACTGTTGCTGGGATTGATGAGTGCTCGAATTCCGAGTTTGGAGTCTGTCCCTTTGGTCAACTTATCACTGCAACACAGATTTCAAGCGTTAAACAAGCACACGAACACCAGACCGAGTCTGTGTAACTTACCAGTGCCTTTCTTGATCCAAGGAGAGACCATAATAGTGGGCACACGAAACACCAAGCCTATCGAACTTGAAGAGAGAAGGAGCAGGACCAGTGTTCCCATCCGGATTCGGGACATTCACAAATGGTGTCTCAACATGATCATAGAAACCACCATTTTCATCGTAAGTAATCACCAAGAGCTTTTCATTCCATTGAGGGCTTGCTCTCAGTGTCTCGTACACCTCTTTCACCAGCTTCTGACCATTAGCAACATCATGGGACGGATGGTCGTCGTTCGCAGGCAAGCCTTTGAGATCGAAATACCTCGGCTCGATAACAGTCAAGCTCGGAAGTTTACCGTATCTAGCATCCTTCTTGAACTTCAAATCGAACTGATGGAACTTGGAGACATACTTCAATTTCCTTAGGTTCCTATAGAACAAAGTAGTGGGTAAATTTTGGAAGTAAATCCCAAAGTCCTTACCATTCTCGTAGAGTGACTCGAAAATGGTTTTTTGAGGGTAGCCTTGAGCCAATTGTTTCTTAAGGTGACTGGTTGAGACTTGAGAGCCATGGGAAGTGGCAGAATACACAAACAGCCTATTGGGTTGAGTCGGACCGGGAATCGACGAGAACCAACGATCAAACACCACGAATTCCTTCATGAGTGAAGCGTAAACCGGCACCGCCTCCGCTCGGTTTCATAACAGTCTCGGAGAGGTTTGGTGATATCGAGAGTGCTTGTTCCACAAAGCCAGACATGGAGGGGAATGAGGTTCAGCTAAATACTTGTTTCTCCACAGCTTCGAACGAGTGTCCCGGATCCGGATCAACGAAATGGGATTTTTCGTCGAAATGGGATTGCATTCATCCCCGGTTACTCCATTGATGGCTGGGTTCACAGATTTCTTCATCCATCCAATTATGTGATCAAAAGATCTGTTCTCCATCACCAGCACCACTATGGTCTTGATGGGTGATTGTTGCTGGGCTAACAATGGTGACAGACAGTGAGAAAAAGCAAGAAAATGAAGGGGAGTGTGATCGACGACTTGATCTCCATTTGAAGGCAGTGAAGAAATAAAGTTGGCCTTTTGATTCTCTGGATAACTCCAAGTTCACGTTTGGTCGGATGGAATCATTTAGAACAGGTGGGAATTGGAATTTAATTATATCACTTTCTCATATTTGGTTTAAGATTTTCAAGAGAATTAGAATCTTTGACGGAATTCAATTCCATCAAATGAGGGAAAGTGAATTCCATCAAAAAATGGATAGAATTCAATTCTCTTGTTGGAGGGAATTAAAATTTAATCATATTACCCTCATCAATCATTTGGTAACTTATTCATATATTGAATAAAAATATTTTTTATTATTTCGGGTCAAGTCGGTTTCTAATTCATATATTTGGGTCGGGTTAGGTCGGGTGAAACTTTATTTTGGTCGGGTCGGATCGAGTTTTTTTGAGTGTGATATTTGGGTCGGGTCGGGTTTGGGTTTAGAGTGAAAAAAACCGGACCGACCCGAAAATATATATAATTCAGCTCGGGTCGGATTAAGTCACTGTTTTTATTAAATAAAAATAATTTTTTATTATTTCGGGTCGGGTCGGGTTGGATTTCTAATTCATATATTCGGGTCAGATGAAACTTTATTTTTTTCGGGTCGGGTCGGTTTTTTTAAGTGTGATATTCGGGTCGAGTCGGGTCGATTTTTTTTTAAGTGTGATATTCGGGTCGGGTCGGGTTCAGTTTAGGGTGAAAAAAACAAAAGCGACCCGAAAAAAATATATAATTTTACCTTATATATATTTAGGAATAATTACAATAATACCCATCTATATATAATATTTTTTCAATTAAGTCAATGTTTTTATTGAATAAAAATGATTTTTTTATTATTTTGAGTCGTGTCGGGTCGAGTTTCTAATTCATATATTGAATAAAAATAGTTTTTGGTATATTTTTTTGTAACTAATTAACATACTCCGATTGGAATGTATCGAAATATTGCTCTATCTTTTGGTAACTTATTAACATATTTTGATTGCGATGATTTTAATTTATAATGTTTATTAGCATGATTTTTATAATTTATTGAAATGAATAATCAATCAATAAAATGAAAATTTAATATTTTTTAATTTTTTATAATATATTACTACATGTAAGTTGTAAAATAAAATAAAATAAAGCAAAAAAAATAAGAAGGGCAATTCTATCATTTTACATTACTGAAATCAAATTCATCTGACATGTCTGCGAACCAAACAGAATATGGAATTGGATTCCAATTCCTACAGATTCTAATTCCTTCAAAGATTCTAATTCCCTCATAAACATTCCAGCGAACCAAACGTCAACTAAAGATTTTTCTTTTAGGGTTTTATAGTGGGTTTGTAGGAATCCAAACACCTCGAAAACCTATTAGTTTAGTAGAATTAAATATTAGATTTTTTTAATAAAATTAGGGGTTGAATTTTGACTTTAGTAAATGGAGTAAATTGAGTTATAAATGTCGCTCTCTTTTTGCAATACATAATTTAGATTAGTCAATTAATAAATTAGATATCAATGATTTATACCAAGAAATAAAAAAAAATTGTTGTATTTAGAAATTTCGAGGTTGACCATTACTCTTATAAATATATTTGAGTGTTTATTGTCAAATGATTGAAAATATTTTAAATAAATATTATTTTATAATTATTTAAATTAATAGAAAAATAAAAACTTAATTGAAGATTAATTAAAAAAATAGAAACTTAATTGAGAAATTCAGTGCATTATTATTATAGACAGATAAAATATCTTTGCTTGAAAATTCTCAAAATGTAAAACATAATACATAAAAAAAAGCATGTACTAACTATCGATTGATCTTATAAAATATCACGTCTGATTTATTAAATACAATCGGATAAGAAGGTTCTGGTTTTAAGGGAGAAATATAACTTAAAAGCAACAAAAATGAAAAAAATAATAATAAAGTGACAGATAAAATCATAAAACAACACGTGGGATAGGAATCTGTTATTTTTGAACTTATCATTTATCCAGCCAGGATTAAATTTAATGACTTCTTTATAACTAGTTTTAAATTATTATTTTGATCCTTCTACTATGCTCAATTTAATAATTTAGTCTTTATATTTTTAACTTAACTTGATTTGATCATTAACTTTTATATTGAACAATCTAAATAGTTAATACCCTTAATTATTTAGGTTAAAATAATTATATTGATTTTTCCTTAAAACATCCCTTTTGACTCGTCATATTAATATATTTTTTTATTAGAAAGGGAGTGAGAATTACTATATAATTAGATTTATATATAATTAATTTAATTCTATAATTGTAATGTGTTAAAAAGATATCATAATTTATTTATTATAAAATAAAAATCATATAAAATTAAGAAGTGATTATAATTTGTTAGTCAAACCTGATTAAAAAATTAAAACTATTTATAATTAAACAAAGATAATAATTACGTCTTCATATAATTATAAATTATATACGGGAGTGCCTAAATATATTTAAATAAAAATATATAATATGATATTATAATTACTTGTAATTTCAACAAAGAAATAAACATTATGCTTCAAGTAAAGTCCATAAAGAATAAATTATTAAAGGGAAAAAATATAAAGAATTGTTTTATTTAACTTTTGTCTAAAATGAAGACAAAGAATCAAAGAATGTCAATGTGATTTCATTACCAAAATACATAAAAGATAAGTAATGGAGATTATGTAAATTCTACACAAAAAGACTTCTGAATTACATAAAAACAATATAAATGTAGGCTTTAAATTCATAGAAATTACTAAGCATTGCTCCTCCAAAATTGTAATTTAGATTATGATATTATACGCGAATCAAAATAATAACTATCAAAATGAAACATTTCTTTTATATTTTGTAGTTTAAATAAGTTGTATAGAGTTAAAAAAAAACTAGGAGTTGGAGGGAGGGGGGGAATTAAACACATGGAGTGCTCATGAACCAAACCAGAGTTTGGACAATCAATCCTAAGAAAAGTTCATATATATATGGCATAATGATAATATTACTCCTAACATTTATACAATTGATCACTTTGATCCCTATTTTTTTAAAAGCATTCTAACTTTAACATTCCATTTTTTTTTATTAAAATACCCTATGTTGGAAAGAAACCATTAGTTGACTAACAATAAAAACATTTGTCACGTCAACAATTAAACATACATAAAAATATTACGTTAGCAAAATCGATTTACAATTTCCTTCCAATACATAATATTTTAACCAAAAACTTAAATGTTGATATTAAAATACTCCAAAAAAAAATACGAGTTAAAATAACTATTTGTGCAAAAGTTGGGGAGTAATTTTATCATTATGCCTATATATATAGAGATTGGAAGGGTATTAAGAATGCTAATTACCGGCTTTCCTCAAGTATGCTAATAAGCCGAGCCCAGCAACGACGGCAGCCCCGGCTGCGACGGTGTTGTATGCAGTAGTCCACCCGTATGAGTTTTCATAATTCAACCTTCTCGAATTGGAGGACCGTCGACGATCTTTCATTCCTGAGTAATCTAAATGTAATCTCAAACCCTGCATAAACCATCAATCACATGTCTTTAACTTGATTCAACTCAGAAAACCAATCAAGTTTTCACTACTATTATATCACGTCTTAGTTTTACATTTGAATATCGGTAATAACATCAGCAAAAGAATGTTCCATGCTTCTGGATATATTGTAAATGTGACGAAACAATCTCAAGCTATTCAAGTTCGATTTGGTTAAAGTTCGATCTACACTTGATTCAAATGAGCACGATTAGACTCAAGTTTTTAATGAGCTGAAGCGAACTACTTGATACTTGACTCGAAAAACTCACAAACAACTTGAAAAATAATATATTAAATTTGTAATTTTTAAAATTAAATTATTAATAATATTAACATTTATAAGTTATTTTTTAATGCAGTATAAGATTTTCATGTAATTAAGGTTCATATTTGAGTTCAAGTTCGAGCTTGAACCAAACTTCAATCGAACTAAGTTTGAGAATGTTTCGAGCTCGAGTCGAGTTTCAATCTTTTTATTTCGAGTTCGAGTCGAACGTGATAATTTTAAACTCGTGAACTTTCGAGTCAAATTAAACTCAGCTTTAAACTTTTCAAGTTGATTCAAACTCAACTATACTCAAGTTCAACACATCTCGTTTACGGTCCTACTTCTAGATATGTTGAGCTCCAAATAGGAAATTAAATCAGAATAAAATCAAAATCCCTTAATCATGTCTAAAGCAAATCTCACAGTAAAATGTTCTATTAAGTATAGATCCAGATAGCAACAAAGTTCAATCATACCTTCAAACCAACTAACTTTGCATGTTCCATGGCCACTTGAAGATCATAGTTTGATGCCAATATAACTTTATCATGGTCTTCGTCTTCATACTACATAATAAGCCTCCATCAATTATCATAATTTTCAGAGAAAAATATACTATTAGATACCTAAGTAATCATCAAAACTAATAATATTTCTAAAAATATACCAGGATTTGAGGCACATTGTTTCTGTCTCTGTCATCCCCTAGCCTATGAAGGACTGCTCTTATTAGATTCGTTAAATTACGTGTATCTGTATTCAGTAGAAAAAAGCAAAAAAATGTATTAAATACAATTTTCTGGAAACAATAGTAGATCAAATGTAGGGTGTATATATAAAGAATTAGATTCTTCTGAACTCCAACGAGACGAATGCATGATTTTTTGTTAGGGGATAAAAACAGATTATCAATAAAAAAATACAAAGAAATTTTTTAAAAAATATAAGAACTTAAAATTTTTAAGAGTCGGCTGTCCCCACCCGCCCCTTCGGTTCATCCCTGCCAGCAAGGGTCCATTGTCCTAAGTGGTGCATCACTAATACTCTAGACTGGCTCTGGTACAAGTTATTGTCTGCTTCAAATCATTTAACCTTAAAGTTTTACTAACAAAAAGGCACCTCACATGTTGAAGTTAATGTGAACACTTATATTTCAAGATCAACTCTAATAGACAATTGATATGAGATTCGCTACTCTCTGAAACCATGACACTTAGTTTACGAGTAGAAACAATAGCATACCACAAGTAAATCTATGCATCCGGCCTTTTTTATCTTGTATTTTGAAGCCAAATGTATATGGCATATTGGATGAAGGATAGGGAAGAGATCTCTCTGTCTCTGCTACAGAAGCCAACTTCAATGAACCATAGCTGAAACATCACTATCAATAAGTTAGTAAAACAGTAATGGCACAAAACACTACATAAACACAACAGCATAAAAAACCTTTTTGTCTCATCATCTTCAATGGGAGGTAAGGCCATTGCGGAATCCCAAACCTTCTGCACCATTGTTGTGGCAGCCTCATTATTGATTGCAAAATTTTTCCCGACCTAGTTATTGAAGAAAATTATGAGATCATAACAGAAACATCATGAATTTCAAAGGAAATAGGAAGATAATTATGATCTTATTCTTTCTCATTAATAATTCGTTAATTACTATTTACACTTTCGGAATTTATACTTTATATAGTATACATAGAGATTATTTGTACACTGCAACATTTATCTGCTTTAAGCACACCATAACTTTAGAAAGATACTTGACTTACCGTGGCAACAGCAGCATGAGTAACGTGGAGCACATCCACAACAGCAACTATTTCTTCATCTGCAACCAACCAAAGAATCTAATTGGGAACTGATTCGATGTATGTAGAAAAACTATATTCCTTGCGGGGTAACAGCTCATATCACCTCTATCTACCACAGGAAGGTGTAAAAAGTTGCCATCATGCATGGTATGCAAAGCAGAAACAACTGGTGTGTCGAGTGTTGCACATTCTGGGTTAGGGGTCATAACCTATACATCAAATCAAAAGCAAAATAACTAGAAGTCAAGAATGTGCTTATCATAGAGGTCAAAAATGAAGAGCTTCTACTGGTATATAAGGTCAATCCATAAGAACAAACTCTGTTGAGACAAAAAGAAAAAAGAAAATTCCAAAAAGAGGCAAACAACCTGCTCAACTGAAGTAGTCTCTGGAGGCAGATTTTGTGCTATCACCCGCATCAATATATCCTTTGAACTATCAGAAATTCAATGTAAAAGCTTAAGAATATATATCAATGACAACTGTAACGGTTAAAATAATAAAACCAGAATTGTAATGCTCCTGCCTTCACTCCCTCAACAACATATGGAAAAATATTGAATTCTGATTTGATTCAAAAGAGACTCACGTTAGAATCCCCTGTGGTTTGTTTTCAACAGTCACGGCCACAGCGTTTATCTGAGATTCGAGCATCTTCCTTGCAGTCGTTAAAACCGTGTCGGCTGGTGAAACTGTTACAATCCTGACAGAAAGGCATCATATTAAGCATAGCTACTGAAAATATCACTAGTGACCAAATAAATATACATTAAAAAGGAAAAAATTATTACCTACTTTGGATTGTCTGCAATTAATGTAGACAGTGAGGGACTGAACATATGCTCTTTAAGTGTCTCAATGATTGTATTCTGACCTGCATGTCACCCCAAAAGGCGGCTAGACTTGAAGTTAAAACTGGTCTGTTGATAGCAAAACTATAAAAATAAAATGAACAAAACAAGGACAAAAAAAAAAACCCCCATTGAAGACAAAAGATAACATTATCCACAAACCAGAGAAAGATGTTCCCCAATTCTTTTCTACACCTTCAACAGCTGCAGCAATAGCTTTTCCCTTTTCAGCTGATCTTTCCATTCGAGCAATAGCGTCATACAAACACTTAGCTATATCAAGCAAAGCAATGACCTCCCCATTCTGTACAACAGGCAAGTGCCTAAATTTTCCTGCTTAGAATGATATCAGAACAATATCAGAGGGTAAGATACAAGAAAATACATGACGTAAAAGGGCGGGTATCAACCAAAAAATCCAACCTTGCACCATCTTCTGGAGTGCCTCCACAGCAAGAGTGTCAGAAAGAACAAATACTGGGTTCTTAGTCATTACTTTGGAAACTGGTGTCTCCCCCATATTAAGCTCCTGAGCAATCACTCTTGTTGCTATGTCCTACAGGCAAAAAATAATCAACAAACAAGAGACAGCATAGTTATCGTACTTCACTTTAGATTGAATATATATAAAGAACATTCTTCATGCAAATGTGAAATCCAAATAAAGGGAATTTGTTGCCTCAACTTGTTTTGAGATTCTAGTAAAGGGAATTTATTATACGCTTCAAGGATTTTAGTCATACCTTATCTGTCAGAATCCCACAAAGCAATGCATTAGAGTTTGTAAGTAATAAAGCATCAACCTTACGAGCAGCCATCCTCCGGCAGGCCTCATAAATTGTGGTATTTTCTGGTACTGTCAGGGCCTTTGACAGCCGTAATTTTTTCACCGTACGCTCGCCAGCTAGTCCCCTTTCCACAAGCAAGTTGGAACAGAATAAAAAGGAAAAGAACCATTACTATTTTTTTTAAAGATGAAATTTAACATTGATTACAATCTTTAACCATTTTTCATCATTAATTCCACATAATGTACACATGTAGAACATGAATGTTCACAAATTATTACCGACTGCCTTGATCAACCCATTCAAACCCAATCCAATTATTCATTTGCTGAACGAAACTTCACCAAACTAAATTGCGCCTTTTACACATTATAGCTTACAAGATTCTTCATCCAAAATCTTCGAAATTTTAAAAAAAACTTTTTTATATAATGATATAAACGAAAGGTAAGATTTGAAATGAGAAAACTTACATGGGAGCAGGACGAGAAGATGGTAAGAGTTTCCGAATAGAGTTGGAACCTCCATTCTCCAATGATTTTCTCCTAGCTGATGACGCGCTTGACTTTGGAAAATTCCGCCTCGGCGAACCGCTGTAACTTGCCATCTGCAATCGTTGGTACACGCATTGAAGTTTCCAATTGTCTCATACGAATTGGAAAAACAAATAAAGAAAAGATGCTAATAAATAAATCAACAACCAACCAGAATTATAGACTTATTTGATTTCAATTCCAATCAAACCGCTAATAATTTCAGGTCAGATTCATAGATTAAACGAAATGAGAAGAGGTGAGGCGCCACAATCAAGCGATTCATGAAACAAATAGAAAATGGAGAAACTGAGGAGCCACGGAATCAAAAAAAGCGCGGGGACGGTTTTCGGGTTTTCCCGGAAAATGCACCGATCGAAAAAAGAAAGGCAGAAATGGATCAAAAACTCGTTAAGAAATGAGAAAGGGAGGGAATGGAAAGCAACGAGATTGTTCCACGTGGGAATCTTTTTAACTGAAATTTCTCCAATTTGACGGGATTTCATGAACTTCTCCAATTATCACAAAGGCGGTAATCTAATTTTTAAAAAAATATTTAACTAATTTATATTTAACATTGTAAATGTAATTTCCGTACAATTTATTTCTCATAGTATTTATATATAATCTTATATACTCATTTTTGTTGAGTGATTAGGGATATCATTGTCAACACCCAATTTATGTTCGTGTATGTGTCAATAAATGCCTTCGATACGTAACATGGATATTATCAAAATTATATTCTATTAGATTATTTTAATAAATTATTTTGTTATAATTTTTTAAATTTCAAATCAAGTTGTTACGGTTTTTAAATTTAAGAATGGATCGAGGGAGTCGGGAATAGTCGTCTCTAAAATTATAAAATTATCATATGTATATTATAAATCTAGGGTGAATACAATGTAATATTTATTCAATGACTTTCAACTCTTTAACAATAAAAGCTCATACCCTTAGCATACGCGATACTTGAACCCGATATATTAAGAGATAACAATAAATCCCTTAACTATTGAAGTTGCTTGATTCGTACAATTATAAATTTTAGATATGTTTTTTTTATATTTTATGTTAATAATTTATTTTCAACCCTAGAATTTTACAAATCTATCCCCTCCTAAAATTCTAATTCATCCTTAACATAAAATCTACGTCCTTCCCTAGTATATATCCCATAAAAAGCAAGCATCATTTCATTTCTCAACACACCATTAGCGATGTCAATTGACTTTTATCTTCTTTAGAAACGACGTCTATTGATTGATTATATTAATTAAAATGAAATCACTTTTAAATTAATAATTTTATTACGATACAATAAATTTAAATATAATTATTTAGTTATTATAATTATTACTATTGTGCTAACCCCCTCCCACAACCAAAATGAACTCTACCCATGCAGCCACCCCACCATTGGCTAGAATCAATCCCAAAATATCCGGCGTTGGGGTTGTTTTAATCGGGCTGAATCGTCTCACCATTCATGCGGTGTTGGGACTAATTTTAAGGTTAGAGATTTAGAGGTTTAAATATTTATTGTTTTGGGATGATGATAAGTGTGATGGGTGGTGGTGACCGTTTGATGACGGATCAGTGATTGGAGATTTGAAATTAAGGATTTTAAGATTTTGAGTTAGGGAATTGGATAGTTTTTGGAGGTTTTATGAGGAAAAATATAAGAGTTTTAATTTTATTTTTTTAAATTAAATGTAATAAAAAAATTAGGTCACATGTCAAACACTGATTGGTTAACTTATTTTTAACAGCTATTATGGTGTAGATACCTAAATTGTAATATTAGAAACGTTAGACACTTATTTTAAATGAAAAATTCTTTAAGCATCTAAAATTATCTTTAGATATAGTTTTGACACTTATTTCGACATTAAACCATTTTTCTCAATAGTATACTTTCCAACACAAATAAAATGCTAGGGGTGCGTTTGTTAATTAGATTTTAGATTATGTAATTACTTAAGGTAGGACCAAGATGAAGCTTCCGAACAAGACCACAAGGACCCAACAACTGACCTACAAAAAGTTTAGGATAAACCACATATTTAGTTATTTAATTATTATTTTGGTTTCGTTTTAATTACTTAACTATTTTTTAAAATCATCACTAGTATTTCATTTTGATTATCCGTTGTTGAAAGATTAATGATGATATTAGTGTGTCACTATAAAATAATATGATGTCATCATTGAGAAAAATAAAAAAAAATTATATCAACAATTATGTTAATTTCTTAACGGGGTGTCTAAAATGAAACAAAAGCCTAATATTAATGATGATTTTGAAAAACAATAATAGTCAAATAACCAAAACAGAACAAAATTGATAAAATACATAGTTCACCCAAAACTTTATAATATCGTCGTTTTCTTCACTCCAAATCTCCTTTAATCTCTCACCCACCACCACACGTTCTTTTCATTTATTTTTCCTCCAGGAAATCCCTTATTACTATCCTTCAGTTTCTGATCATTCATTCTATCAAGAACCAGAAAAACAAAACACGAGGCGGGGGGATAATCGAATCGATGGCGGATTTGGGTCCGGTGATAGTAGCGACGGTGCTGTTCGTCTTGCTGAGCCCCGGATTGTTGTTTCAGATACCAGGTAAAGGCAAGGTTGTTGAGTTCGGGAACATGCAAAACAGTGGAGCTTCCATCTTCGTCCACTCGATCATCTACCTCGGTCTCGTTACCATCTTCGTCATCGCCATCGGAGTTCATATTTACGCCGATAATTAATAAAAACGTCGTCGTCGCTATCATTATCATCATCATCTTTTACAATATATTGTTTCCTTCCTTTCATTTCCTTTACAAGTTATTATTGTTGATGTTATATTCTTAGGTAAAAGTAGCAAATTTAAATATACAATAGAATTATATAGTTTCTAATATTTTTTCGCTCAATCAAATTTTAATTAAAGGAAAGTAAACGCAACAACATAATCATGAATCAAAAAAATTCATAGGGTAAAGTACATAAATGGTCCTCCGATTATGGACGTTAATTTTTTGAGTCTCTTAATTATTAGAAGTTACAAAATAATCTCCTAACTATAGGGTGTTGCTTTGTTCATTCATCTGACTATTAAAAGTTACAAAATAGTCACTCGATTAATCACATGTTCCAAACTCGTACTTTTCCTTTAAAAATTTGACGACCGCCTGAGATTGACGTTAACTTGTTGAATTGGATATGATAAAACATGATCCTAGAATTGTTTTAGTTGTATTTTATGGATCAAGTCTATATTTACTTTATGACGTCAAGCTAGTGTTTGAAACATTATATTGGTGAGTCAGTGCTCGAAAGCAATGGTGATGCAAGTAGACATCATTAAAATATAATTTTATCATATCTCATTCAGTAGGTTAATGTCTAACTCAGACAAGCATCAATCTTTTAAAAAAAGAATGCTTTTGGAACATATAAATAGTTGGGTAACCATTTTGTAACTTTTAGTAGTCAGGACTCCTATAATTCGTGACCATTTGTGTACTTTACCCAAATTCATAAGACTTACTCTCTATTTTTACATCCAATCAAGAAATATAATTCTATAAGATTTATGGCTTAAAAATAAGTATTTACTTATTAAAATAAACTTAAGTAATTTTTACTAATTAGAATTATACCGATAATCTAATTTAATTATCAATTATGATAAAATATAACCATTTCTTTATCTACATCACTCCCTGCTTTTTTATTATGAGTTTTTCTATTATGAAAAATTAATTTTTCGTATGTAGAAACTCTATATCATACAATGTTAGGATAAGTTAGACCATAGGTCAACTTCTTAATATGATGTATAAATCTCAATTTGACACTAATAGTTCGAACAAAATTCTTTATGTAATAAGAGAATTAAAATCTTAAAGTTGTTTAGGAATTATTGTTATTCTTGAAGTCTCAGATTCAAGCACTATAAATATTAGGAGTGTGAGTGTTTAATGTTAAATAATTGAAAGTTATTTTTAAACAAATACTACCTTATACTTACATCAACTTAATATATATATATATATATATATATATATCTCAAAATGTACTACTTGAAACTAGAAATCCAATGATCTAAATATAACAATTTCAACTAATCTACTTTAAGCACTTATAACTCACAATATACAAAAGGTATAGAGGTGTGTTTTATGCCCAATCGAAGCTCACATATTATACTTCAAATTGGAAGTATAATATTGGAATTGTTGAAGATATTCATACTATTTACAAATGTAGGAACTATTATTATGAGATTTATTCTATACTAGAGTGATTTACAAGATAGTATTTGATCAGAATTTTCTTAACTAATTGACTACACACATATACCCTGTTACAGACATAACTGCTTTAAACTCAGAATCTTTGGAGAGAACAACAATTTTCTTCTTCTTTCATCACTCAGAGAACTTGATAAGTTCATCAACAAGATAATATTGAAAGTTAATGGACCACAATCATATTACTTACTAACAAAATGACATTATTTTCCAAAGTCTAGTGAACTAATTTTCCGCTTCAAACATTTTACTTCCAAACAAGTACACATCATTTATTTAAATCCACGTTCATATTTTGAATTCAAGGGATTATAGATTAAGTTCTAGTCCATATGCAGAATTTTTTAAAAATGAAACAACACATAATTTTTAAAAGGTATCATTTTGGGTATGGTATGGTGCTTTAATTTTTTTTGCGTATAACCAATTCTTGAATCTTATTTTATTCTAGCTTTAAATGTGTATCTCCAAAATCATATTTTTTAAGAGAATTTTTACAAAAGGTTCTTAAACTATGATTTTATGTGTGTTCAAAGTTATCTAGTCCAAGATGACTTATGAATTACCAATTTTCTTAGACTAAAGGGATTGTTTGATTTTGATCATCGATGTTTGCCCCTAAGGTCCCTACCCCACCTTCCTTTCGGATGCTCAAATGGCTTATGACCATCTATTTTAATGGCATTAAATCAACTTCTTAATTTGCCCACTTGCCCTATCTAAATCTTCTTTTTGACCTTAAAGCAAAGATTAAAGTTACCTATACATGATTTTTTAGGTTAATGGTTTTCTTCTTGTGGCTTAGATGATTCCAATTTCATTGTAAAACAAATGAAAATGGCTTAGATGATTTAACAGGTCGTATATATTAAAGTTAAAACCTTTGTTGATTTATTAGAAGAGATATAGGTGGGTTGGGTTCATCTATTTAAGTTTAGTTCGTTTTAATCTAAAATATAGATACTAAACTTTATTTTAATTTAGGATGATGTTGCCCTGTTCGACAAGCATGAATGAGTACCGTTAATGGTGAGTATTATTAAATTAATTTATAAAACGTTAAATTTTAAGGTACTAAACATATAATTATAAATTAGTTAAAATTTTAAATGTAATTTAATTAAAATACAATATTTATAAAATATTAGCTTCTATAATTTTATTTTAATTATAATTAGATCAAATATTAATTTGAGAAATTAATAAATTCTAATTTATTTTTATAGTTTTGAAGCTCTTGTCATTGCTATCGTGGTCACCACCATCACTGTATCAGCTTTCACCACCGGTGAACGACAAAGACTAAATCACATGCGAAAGATGATACCGGTGGCGGGGGTTGCGATGGCAGGGACGGTGGTGGCGGCGGTAATGGCGACAGCGGGGGCAACAATGACGACAGCGACGACCACCACGAAAACTTTAAAGCTATGAAAATAAATTAGGGTTTATATATTTCTCAAATTAATATTTGATCTAATTATAATTAAAAAAATATTAACTAATGTTTTATAAATATAGGTTAATTACCACATTCATACATGAACTATACCCGATTCTCAATTTTATACATAAAGTTTAAAAATTCTCGATTAACTACATAATATTTTCTGTCGTTAATGGGTATACCAATTTTCGTCACGGAAGATGACGTGGAACCCTCCTATAACAAATTGACACGTGGCACTTAAAAAAAACATGTTTTTTTATTTTTATTAGGTAAATTACACCATTCATCATTCAACTACCTTCTCACTCTTATTTTATTCGCTAAAGTTTAAAATTTTTTAATTTAATTATTTTAGCCACGTCTTTACCACTATCAAACAAGTTTGCTCTTTTTCTGAAACAAGGAAAAACCCTCAACGCACAATCATTGACCAGACACATAGAAATACTTGGCCAAACTACGAAATCCATATGTTTTCCCTTCACAATCGTTGCGGCAACCATCTCAAATTCCAATAATCTCAACTGTCTACTAACACCTAACCCCCATTCAATTCAAAACCCCAATCTTACTCTCAAAAGAACCCAACATTCGGTCATCGCTCTACGATCTCAGTCTTTTTCGGAACCACGTTTCATCATGTTTGGGGTGTTTGGGTTTATGTTTCTTTGGGGCTTTGGTTATGAGGAAAGAGGTGGAGAAGGAATAAGGATTTTAGAATTTAGGGTTAGGGTTTAAGAGGGTTTTGCAAAGAAGAAGAGACTGCAATCCATTTGGGGAAAATTTTCAAACTCTAGTTACGTATTAAAGCAAATACATTAAAACTTGCAGTTGGTCTTTAATTGGTTCATTTTTTTCATAGATACTTTGTGATTGATTCTTTCATCTTTGTTTCCTGCAACTAAGAGGTTCTATCAATTGTGAGTTTTCAAAAAAAAAAATCTTTCGTTGTGGATTTTACCGAATTACACTGAGTTGTGTCAGTGTTTTTCCTCATGGGTACTGCTCCAGGTCAGTGCCCATCTGGAATCACTGCAAGTTTCCATGCCAAATTTGATAACAGAACTGAGTTTTCAAGCTCCAGTTTCCCATCCACTCTTAATCTTACGAAGCTTATCTATCACCCCAATTCCAAGGTATTATATATATATGTATATATTTGTTTTTAAATCATATATTGGTTTGTGTATACAATATTATTTTGTTAATAGATTCTTGTTTTCCTGTAAATTTTCTGGGCTAATGCAATAATGGTTATTTTTTGTGTTTAATGTTGTTTTATTTCTAGATATTTGTGATTTATTAGAAATCGTGGAGGGAATTGGAAATGTTTTTTGGGTTGATTTTGTAATTGTAGAAATGACATTTGTAATTAGAGTATTGAATTTTATAAATTTGAGTTATTAATAAAATATTAATAAAATAAATTTGAGTTATTAATGGATGACATGTCATAATATTATTGATAAAATAAATTTGAATTATTAAAATATGAGTAATTCTATAGTTTAATAATTAAATTAAAAATAGGGTTAATTACCCCATTCATACAAATACATTAAAATAAAAAGTAATTTAAAATTTAAATTATTAAAATATTAATAAAGTAAATTTTAGTTATTAATAAATTATTAATAAAATAAATTTGAGTTATTAATAGATGTCATGTCATAAAAAATTAATAAAATAAATTTGAGTTATTAAAATAAGAGAATTCTATAGTTTAATAATTAAATTTTAAAAAATAAACTTTAGTGACTGAAATAAGAATAAGAATATATGAGTGATGAATAGTATAATTTACCTAAAAAATAAAAAAAATGTATTTAAGGTATTTTCTCCTATTTAATAAAAGATATAATGTCAATATTAAATTCTTGCGTTATTACTTTAGATGATGTGACATATATCACATCATTATTTTTAGTAATGTGACATATATCACGTTAATAATTTAGTACATGTGAAAATGTCATATCAACAATATGCATAGACAGTTTGTTAAGTAACAT